GCCGGTGCCCGGCGCCGCCCGGCGCAGGGAGGAGCGGCTCGGGGCCGGCACGGTTGCGGAGCTCTCGGGACGCGGTGCGGCCTTGGGCGGCTTCGGCCCTCGGCTCCCTGGGGCGGCTCAGCACCTGCGGGACGGGCTGTGCCCCCAGCCTTCAGCCCGGTTGCCCGGAGTCGGGATTGAAGGGTTTTCACGTTACGAGGGAGACCAGCACGCCTCGGTTGTAATGCAGCTGCTATGAACGAAGCTTCAGCTTCCATAGGTTTGCATCGAAGGAAGGAACGTTTTCCTGTTGGGATAATCGTGGCTGCGAATCAGCAGCTGTATGGTTCAGTTACTGGAGAGTGTTTATATCTAGAGTGCATGTTGGTTTTTATTTAATGAAGTAGATTGCAGTGCTAATACAGCATTAATCTAGATTACTTTTAGCATCCTATCATGCTTGTCAACACTGCTAGAAGAATTTATTGTGTAGTAGCAAAGTAACATGAGGAAGACACAATTAGAATTTAAATCAGACTTTGATAGATAGCGGACAGAGATAGAGAAGATCAGCGATTTATAAACAAGGCCGATGTTATTTTTACTGTGGTAGTTACTCCAGCCAAGCTAGCAAGAGGTTTCAATTACTAGATAAAATAACATTATTAGAGGTGTGAAAACATGCATTTGAGTGCCATACTGAAGCTGAAGGTTGAAAATATAGGTTCAAAGTAAATTAAAAATACAGTTTTTGATGCCATTACTTAAAAGGCTTTATAACAATGGGTTTGTTCATCTTATGATGGGTTCTGAAAGCATTCATCCTGGATGATTATTACAAGGCTGAAAATAATTATGTGATAGAGAAAATTATATGTGTTCTAACAAAGGCATATAAGCTGCTGAATAGCTACACGAATAGCAGAGCTTGTGGATTTTCAGCAGCTGGTTCTAGACTGGTTTAAATTCTCTCATTTTGTTTCTTCTGTGAAATTTGTTCAGTCAGTCCTTAAAATAGCAAATACATTTTTCTTTTTTTTTTTACACATTACAAAATGGCTTTTTATACTATTTCTGCAGTGATACTCTCTATATAAGTATGTGAGTACCTTATTATAAAGGCTTTATGTTATGCTACTAGGTAAGAAAGCTTCAAAAAGATACTTACTCACTTGTTTCTGAGCACTCAGAATCCTTTTTGCATTACCACTGAAGTTGTTAAACTCTGTTTCAGTGTCAGTCACCCAATACATTATTGTTTCTCCCTATGTTTTATATTAACTCTAAATAAGGTTTTTAAATTAAATTTTGAAGGAAGTCTTAAGATTCCAAATGTTCTGAAGCCTAAGGTTTCTTAACTTGCATGGGATGTAGATAATATTTGATACTCTTTGAAGAAGCGTATTTGTAATTTTGTAGCTCTTCAAGCATGGAAATTTTCGAAAAAAATCTACATTTTGTTAATGGGTTTTGTTTTTAGTATTTTTTCAGTTGCCCCATGAAGACTGATTACCTGCTCAACATAACTTCGCCAGAACTCACTTTCTACCTATTCAGATGGGTCCTAAAATTTTACTTATGTGCTGAATCTGTCTTACAAATGTTTACAAATAGCCATCAACATCTAATTTGGATTTTATGTCCAGCAGGCTCGCAGATGGGTCAGGGACTCTGGAGAATTGCTAGAAACCAGCAATTGCAACAGCAAGGGTACAGTGGACAAGGCTATCTTACCAGAGAGCATGGTAGGAGGATACCTGCTAACAATGTTTCCAATACGAGCCATCGCAAACAAGCTCAAGGAGGCATTGACATCTACCACCTGCTGAAGACAAGAAAATCTAAAGAACAAGAAGGATTCATTAACCTGGAAATGTTGCCACCAGAGCTCAGTTTTACCATTTTGTCATACCTGAATGCAACTGATCTCTGTCTAGCATCATGTGTCTGGCAGGATCTTGCTAATGATGAGCTCCTCTGGCAAGGGTAAGCACGAAAAAAAGAAGTACCACCTGGGCATAGTAAAGAGTATTAGATTTTAAATTTGCCTCAGTAAGTGCTTTTTGTCTTTCTAACCTAGCAATGGTTTCCTGTGCTAAATGAGATTTATATAGAGGAAACATACATAGTTTATGTGTTATTCTGGATTTCTAATTAGTATGGGGTATTACTGGAGATTACTACATACACAAGTGTGCTTGGCACAAGTATACATGTGTATTATTAAGCACCTGGTGTTTGAGATAGCATGGGATAAAAACAGGGACTTGTCTTCACTTTTGTATTAGCTCAGAGCACGTCTCAGGGGCTTGTATCATTACTTCTCTGAACTTTGAACAGTTGTCTAGCTTAAGCAAACCTATTCAGCCAAAATTCCAAAGGAAGAGAAGTGAGAATTCATCTACTAGATTTGAAGCAAACTAGGTGTGTCTTTTTTGCAAGATGGTTATGGAGAGAGGAAAGGTCATTTTTTCTCGAGTAAAATTTCTTCAGCCTAACACTTGAAACGCATTTATGTATAACATATATAGAATTTGTATGTGTGGGAAATAAATAAAGGAATATTTTTAAGATAAAATAGTCTAATATCAAAATGGAATTAACATATTCTTTGGTATTTTATGTTTTACAGCACTAGGAAAGACTCATTAAATCATACTTATCTTTAGAGTAGATGATCAGCAGAACTTATAACTTCTTTCACAACATTTTCTTCTCCCTTAACAGACAGTATGACTACTGTAGCAGTTGGTTTGCTGTTCAGGTTGTTTATTTACCTTTCATTATGCTCTACATCTCTTCGTTACCTCATCTGTTTCCTTGCCCTGCTGTATTTGAATTAAGCAGCTTCCCTTCCTATCATGCTTTTGAACCTAGCAAAAGGATAATGCAGCGTAACTTCTTAGTCACAATTGTTCTGCTGTTAGGGACTGTTCTATTGACTGGAAACAGGAATTCTAGTGAAGCATAGCAGTAAGCTAAGTTTATCAATATGCATTGTACTGTGCTCAGTTCTTGGTATCAAAGCCGACCTAAATACAAATAAATTCCCTTCACCAAATCTTGAAGATAGTAGAGCTTCTTAATTGCATGCAGTATATATTCTTAACATGTGGGGTGGAAATACACCTTTTCCTTGAAGTTCATTCTGGGAAACAGTTCAACCATGTTTTGTGAAATCTTCTCAAATAAGGTTCTCACATTCATGCCACATTTGTTTTGGTAATGAAAGTGCATCCTAATTTAGCAATAAATAAAAATCTCAATGTGCATAGTCTCTGTAAAATTCTTCACTATTCCACATGTATAAGGAAGGGCATGTTTAAGCTTTGGCAAGTACTGTGGTTGCAGTTCCAAACTCAGTCCAAATGAGACCCACATTCCAGAATTGAAAACAGAATCTTTGCCATGTCTCTAGTGACTACCTGCTGGGTCCTAAACATTGTTCCTAATTAGTTACAGGGCAGGTGTGTTGAAGCAGAACTACCAGTTCAATAAGGAATCTTGAGTGTGTAGAAAGGGAGTTGCAGATGGTATCATCAAAGAAACTGAGATGAGGGACAGAAACTGATGGAACTGATATGGAGTCAGGGTGGAATAAAAAGGAAAGAAGCTCAAAAATCATAGAAGATAGAGAGGGATGGGACTGGATCTAGTCATTAGGACTGGCCAATTAGGACAAGAGGAGGAAGAGTTGGGTGATGAAGGACAGATGGGGAAAGTCCTGAATTAATGACATAATTGTGTGCAGATACAGTGTCCAATTCACTGCACAACTGGGGCACAGGAAAAGAAACAGAATGTTTTAATCTGTCACAGTACCCCAGGAGAACAACTTGTCACTGTTCTCCAGTGTTCAGGTTCTAGGAGTGCCAGAGGTCTCTGCTGTGTGGTTGTCATTATGATGCCACCTGCTGGGATATGTTTTGATGTTGCACTCAAATGCACTAAAACCTCTATGATAAGAAAACATTAATCATATAATTGAAGATTTTAGGAAAATATGGCAAAAAGACTTAATAAGTGTTACAGCAACCTACTTCTAACTTTTCCTATGGTTTGAGGATTTATCTTTGCAGTGTTGATTACATTTTGCTTCTATAAAATCCATGAAATTCAGAAAGGAGTTTTTATAATAGATTAATTCTATTTTCATAGGTTGTGCAAATCCACTTGGGGTCACTGTTCTATATACAATAAGAATCCGCCTCTAGGATTTTCTTTTAGAAAATTATATATGCAGCTAGATGAGGGCAGTCTCACCTTTAATGCCAACCCTGATGAGGTAAGTGAACTGTTGCTGACAGTAATAAAAAGTTATAATAATTGTGATTGTTTTTTTATAATTATAGCCATATAAAAACAAAGTTTTAAGCAGTATTTTTTTTACTGTAGAGATGGTTAATAC